TCAATAACTCCTAAAATACTCAACTTAATCCAATAAAGTTTGGCTTAATCCAATAAGGTTTGTCCAGGATGGTGAAGGAAATTACCATATCTGTCACAAAAGCATTCACCCATCCCTTCCATCAAACGGTGGTGGAGTTAGCGTGGAAACCAATGCCAAACCACCTCTGGTTTTGGTTTTACAAGTGTAAGCAGAGTCTGGATGAGCTCTCCTCTGCCACTAGTGGTGAGCTGTGGAAAGACTTCAGAAGCTGATCTCGTTTGCATGGACACACCCACCCTGCCTAGGTGCTCAGCATGATGGGACTGCTTGCACAAATGATCACTTGTGGCTGGTGTTGGATCCCCAGTCTCCTTGTTATTGGGGCAGGAGTAATAAAGCGTTGCTATCCTTATTGTGTGAACTTTTGGGGCAATTTGCTCCTGAGGAAAAGTCCTTGTTATGTCTAACTTCTGCAGAGTCACCCCACTGATTTACATACAGAATGTGGCATCGGGTGTGAGCCACAACTTGGGGGCAGGATATAGGCCATGGTGCAATACTTAGACTGTACACTCGTTAGAACAGGAACTATGTTTTTAATCTGTGTTTGAGCAGCACCTAGTCCTTTGGGGTCCTGGTTCATGACTAGACTGCTAAGTGCTACGGGAATACACATAATAATAATTAATAATATAGTAACGTCTAGGATCACTAAAGGCTTGATCCAAAGCCATCGAAATTAATGGATCAGTGCCTCATTTCTTAATGATCCTATTTCAGATTTACTCTGGTTCTGACGCTTTAATGGGGCCCTTGTTTGCTCATTAACCTGGAAACAGCTGAACTTTGAAACTCAAACACAAGCCTGTAAATAGCTTGCCTTTTGGAGCAGATCCTGGATAGCATTTCACTGTGGAATAATGAAAGGCCAGATTCTGATACCTTAACTCGCACTGAATAATATCTGACGCTACAGCTGGAGCTACGCCTAGACAGGGGCGGCTCTATGGTTTTTGCCGTCCCAAGCACGGCAGTCAGGCGGCTTTCGGCGGCACGCCTGCGGGCGGTCCGCTGGCCATGCGGATTCGGCGGCACACCTGCGGGCGGTCCGCTGGCCACGCGGATTCAGTGGCATGCCTGCAGGAGGTCTGCTGGTCCCGCGCCTTCAGCGTCCCTGCCGCCGAATTACCGCCGAAGCCGCGGGGCCGGCAGACCTCCCACAGGCATGCCGCCGAAGGCAGCCTGACGGCCGCCCTCACAGCAACCAGCAGGCCGCCCCCCGTGGCTTGCCGCCCCAGGCGCGCGCTTGCTGCGCTGATGCCTGGAGCCGCCCCTGCTCCTGGAGTAGGGTCCTACTCAGTATGAGTAACTGGATCACAATCTGATCCTCAGATACAAGCGATTGAAAAATCATGTTTGAGCCCGCCCATTAGACATCTGCCTAAACGGCCTCACACCTGCTGCCTTTGAAGTCGATGGGAGCTGAATTAGGCCCATTTTATAGCAAAGGCCTGTCTGCTTTGTCACATCGCTGGGGAGGGGCCGGGCAGAAGCTCCCTGTGAATGGGAGAGTGGGGGTCAGAGGGATAGGAGGGGGAAGGAGGGGAACTACTAAGACTTGGGGAGGGAGGGGGAAAGCAGGGCAGCTCCTTCACCTCTCCTGGGCTGGACAAGATACCAAGCCAAGTTTGTGACAGTACCCATAAGACATGGAGCCAGAGCAACAGGTAACAGGGAAAATATTTAGCAACTCCTTTTCCTAGCCCTGATCCGCTGAAAATTCATGAAGTTCCCCAGTCTTTGCAGTCCACTGATTTCCATGGGTGCAAGACCATGGAAGGGATAGCTGGGGGAGGGATAGCTCAGTGGTTTGAGCATTGGCCTGCTAAACCCAGGGTTGTGAGTTCAATCCTTGAGGGGGCTACTTAGGGATCTGGGGCAAAAATCAGTACTTGGTCCTGCTAGTGAAGGCAGGGGGCTGGACTTGATGACCTTTCAAGGTCCGTTCTAGGAGATAGGATATCTCCATTAATTATTATAAGACCATGCCCTTCACCTTTCACTCCTAAACTTCAGTCCCAGGTCTTGTACAGCATCTAACAATTACAACCACTTAATTCAGCCTAGTAACCTTTGAACGGGTTATGTTTCCAGGGGAAATGGAAATATTTACAGCCATACACTAGATTGGTTATGGATTTTCTCTACGGGTTATAAAGATTTAATTAAGGGAGACCCTAAATTTTAGAAGGATAGTCTGGGCGACCCTATACCATTGCAGACATTAGTGTTCCTAGCTCCAAGTGCAGGATCTATGGCCTTGGAACGGATGATGCACAAATTTACTCATCTGAGTAGCCCTCAAGTCAACAGTCACTCACCACCACAAACCAACGGTCTATAATTAACTGTTCTTGCATTCATTGCTCATTCTAATCTCCAGCTAAAGTCAGTGGAAATCGGACCTTATCCTGGATTCCCCATACTACCTTCAGACTTGCTAGACTAACACCACCAAGTATATATTTATTGTATTACTATGTTATTACCAGTGCTTGTATTAACTTTTCATTGATTTATTGATTAAAAAAAAATCAATAATAGCTACATTTACCATTATGGATCATATGGAATTCCTATTCCTGTAAGAAAGAATCTTCTTCTGTCCCCTGCAGCTGTCAAAATACTCTTACCCCGGTCTCTGACGCTGGGTCTGATCCTCAGCGCTGTTCCTGGCCTCTGATTCCTGCTATGACCACTAGGCCTGACCATTGCTGCTCCAACCACTAGGCATGACCGCTCACACCCCAGTCCATGACAATCAGTGCTGACTGCTGAGTGTGGGGTTTGTAGCATGTGCCGGCACATTACAAACTGATCATCATGCAGGGGACTGGACTCGATGACCTCTCGAGGTCCCTTCCAGTCCTAGAATCTATGAATCTATGAATCGCTACTTGGTACATCTCATTTGGCAATGGAATTAACGAAACCCTACAAACGCGTATCTGCCATACATTATCTGCCATGTATGGAAGCTTGATCCTAATATGCATTCTGCCCTTCTGCAAAGGAATTACAACATGGAGAGCATTGCAGTGGTTTCACTCTCAGTTCACTCCCCAGTCAAACCAGAAGAGACCTGGAGTCAGCAGGTGGAAATCAGTGTAGTTTTAATGGCGCTACCCTGATTTACGCCAGGTGAAGAGTTGACCCATAAGGTGTCATAAGGTGTTACCTTCTCCTTTGCCCTCAGTTAATCATTACCTCTTTGTGGTTTTTGCACTGACCTGTGTCTTTTGTTCTTTACACAACACTCTTTAGATCATGATTGCAGAGCAAGGTTTGTATAGTGCAGGGGTAGACAACCTATGGCACGTGTGCCGAAGGCGGCACGCGAGCTGATTTTCAGCGACACTCACACTGCCCGGGTCCTGGCCACCGGTCCGGGGGGCTCTGCATTTTAATTTAATATGAAGCTACTTAAACATTTTAAAAACCTTATTTACTTGGCATACAACAATAGTTTAGTAATATATTATAGACTTATAGAAAGTGACCTTCTAAAAACATTAAAATGTATGACTGGCACAC